AAAAAACTTTTGAAGTGATAATCAAGCACTGTGCTGGGCTAGCTTGATTATCACTTCAAAAGTTTTTTTCTCTTAATTAATTGGCCTCTCAGAGGTGGTAAGACAACTCCCACCTGTTTATGCTCTCTGTATGTGTGTATATATATCTCCTCAATATATGTTCCATTCTATATGCATCCGAAGAAGTGGGCTATAGTCCACGAAAGCTTATGCTCTAATAAATTTGTTAGTCTCTAAGGTGCCACAAGTCCTCCTGTTCTTCTTTTTGCGGATACAGACTAACACGGCTGCTACTCAGAAAATCTTTAATGTTTCCTTGCAACTAGTACAAGAAGTGACCACCCTCCTTTTACATATTTAGCTGCAGTGAATTCCCTTGAATGTTAACCAAATGCTGTGTAGCTCTTACATTCCATACTGATCTCATCCTGTTTGGAACTGTGTTTTATTATTGTTGTAGCAGAGCACCAGCTCCTCAGCTCTGCCTGCCCTAGGTACCCTGTTTGCTCTCCCAGGCAGCTTGGTCCTCTCTGCTCCCTAGCTGGAGCAAGAATCTCTCTCCCATTCTCTCAGCCTGCCCTTTTATCGGGGTCAGCTGTGCCCTAATTGGTACAAGCACACCTGTGGCTGACTACCCAAGCAGCCTCCCTTGGCTGCTTTTAACCCCCTTTCTGACTGGACTGGGGTGACCATCCCACTACAGGCTCCAACTTAATCTTTACTCTCCAACTGTAGGATGTCCCCAGTTTAATACTATAGAGATTTTATGCACTCTATCTGATTTCAGAGAGTAAAGCACCAAACCCACCTAAGGGGCAATCCTGAAAACACATATGAGCAGCTTTACTCAAGCAAGTAGTCCCACTGATGTCAATGGGATGCCCTGCATGAGTCAGGTTACTCATGTATTTGCAGTATCAGGCCTCAAGTACTCCCAATATAATATTTGTAAGGACACCTTCCCCCCCCCCCCCTCGGAAAAAAAAGGGCATATAACTAGGAGTGACAGGATGAAACCATGACAGGGAAAATGGAGGCTAAATGCAGAGCACCACTACCTGGCAGGGAGGTGTGTCACACTGTGGAATCACACCCCAGGGGAGTGGGGGATGCTGTGTCCTTGGTACACACTAAAAATGAAACCAGACCAAGCCCAGGAGGGAGTGGACATGTAATGGGGAGTTAAAGGGGACTGAGGTTATTTAGCCTCCAGAAGAGAAGAGTGAGGGGGGATTTGATAGCAGCCTTCAACTTCCTGAAGGGGTTGGAGCTTGGCTGTTCTCAGTGGTGGCAGATGACAGAACAAGAAGCAATTGTCTCAAGTTGCAGTGGGGGAGGTTTAGGCTGGATATTAGGAAATACTGTTTCACTAGGAGGGTGGTGAAGCACTGGAATGGGTTACCTAGGGAGGTGGTGGAATCTCCATCCTTAGAGATGTTTAAGGCTCGGCTTGACAGAGCCCTGGCTGGGATGATTTAATTGGTGTTGGTCCTGCTTTGAGCAGGGGATTGGACTAGATGACCTCCTGAGGTCTCGTCCAACCCTAATATTCTAAAGGTCAAGACTGTGAGCTAGAGATACTAAGGGTTTTTTTTTCCTATTTCTGTCACTGATTGTGTGTGACCCTAGGCACGCACTATTTAACATCTTTATCAGTGATGTGGAAGAAAACAAATAATCACTGCAAAGTTTGCAGATGACACCCAAATTGGGGGAATGATAAACAGTAAAGAGGACTGCTTGGTAAGCTGGGCGCAAACAAACAATATGTGTTTTAATGCAGCTAAACATAAATGTATATACATCTAGGGAACAAAGAGTGTAGTCTATACTTACCGGATAGGGAACTCTTTCCGGGAAACAATGACTCTGAAAAAGATTTGGGGGTGGGGTAGATAATCAGCCGAACTTAAGCTCCTGGTGCAATGTTTTGGCCAACAGGGATAATGAGATCCTTGGATGCATAAACAGGAATCTCGAGTAGGAGTAGAGAAGTTCTTTTATCTCTGTATTTGACACTGGTGCGACTGCTACTGGAGTACTGTGTCCAGTTCTGGTGTCCACAATTCAGGAAGAATGTTAGTAAATTGGAGAGGGATCAGAGAAGAGCCACAAAAAATGATTAGAAAACATTCCTTATAGTAGTTATAATCAAGGAGCTCAATTTATTTTGTCTAACAGAGAGAAAGCTAAGGGCTGACTTTTTATAGTCTATAAGTACCTTCATGAAGAACAGACAATAATGGGCTCCTCACTCTAGCAGAGAAGAGTATAACATGATCTAATGGCTGGAAGTTGAACCTAGACAAATTCAGACTGGAAATAAGGTGTTCATATTTAACAGTGAGGGTCATTAACCACTGGAACAATTCACTAAGGGTCGTGGTGGATTCTCCATCGCTGACCATTTTAAAATCAAAATTGGATGTTTTTCTAAAAGCACTGCTCTAGGAATTATTGTGTGGCAGGTCTCTGGCCTTTGTTACACAGGAGGTCAGACTAGACGGTCCCTTCTAGTCTTGGAATCTAGGAATCTATTAAAGTCATGTCAGCCCCTGAGGGATGGACTAGGTATGCTTTAGTTCAAACAGGAATTATTTGGAGATGATCTCTGGCCTGTGTTGTGCAGGAGGTCAGGTCAGGTGGTCCCAGTGGGCCCTTCTGGTCTTGGGATCTATGAATCTCTGACTAGGTTGGAAGTAAGGCTGGAGGGTGGGATTTTAAAAGGAACTTAGCTCCCTGAGGATCCTTTAAGAATCCCAGCCTAAAGGCCCTTTCTGTCTCTGATCTCTGTGATACGTTTTATGCCAAAGCAGCCCTTATGCTTTCTCTATGCTGGTCTCAGTTTGAGGTGGATCTGTACCAACATGAGTCAGCCTGTCAGACCCCCTTGGATAGGCAGTACCACCAGGAGATCTTGAAGCTGGAGAAGTCAGGAGGCCGGAAGAATAACCGCATCTTCACCTACACAGACCATGACCGATTCACCAACCTGAAGGAGGTATCTACCCTTAGTTGTGCCTAAGCTGTTGCCGTCTGTGCAGTGGTAGCTCTCCACATGGCCAGGTCTGCAGTCTTTAGGAAAGAGGGATACATTCACCAGGTGGTGGGCTCAAGAAACTGAAGCTGAGTACCCTGAGAGGCCAGCTTGAGGGCAGCAGAATATATTTTCATGCAAGACAACTCCAGCCACTGCCCCAACTCCAGGCTGAGTCCTGGGCGTTTCAGAAAGATGCACGTTGAAAGTCTGGAGGGAGCTGTTAAGAGTCCAAACTCCACTGTTTGTTCCCTGTTATAATGGCAGCTGCCATAACACATAGAGTCTCAAATGTGCCCTGTTCAAAGAATGGAGGATGGATCAGTAGCACTTTGAAGGCTAAGCTCAGGAACTGGGCTCTCCCCTAAGTGGGGAGCCAGTCCAAGGCCCTCCCACATTCACTTTGACTTTGGATCAGCTGAGAAGGGTGCGTTGTGTGCATGTGTGGCTGTGCACACATGTATGTGCCTGTTCCAGGACTGAGGTCAGGTCTGCCTGCAGCTAGGAAGGGGAAATCGCTTGTGGTGTGAATGCTCCTGCCTTTCCAAGGTGAAGGAGAGGCTCTGCCTATAACTGTAATAGTTCCACCCCCTGCCCTCTCTTCCAGCACTGTCAGAAAGTGACCAGCTCAGAGCAGGAGGTGCCATCATTCCTGGCAGAGAGGATGGCCAATTTAAGGAGAAGGCAGGACCGCAGGCCAACGTGAGTGCAAAGAAGAGCTCAGAGCTCACTTCAGCCCTGTCTCAGAACTCACTAATGTAAGATTGCCAGCCCTGGTGCCTGGGGGGTTTGAGTACCCCAGCCTGGGGAAGCTGGCGGTGTGGATTCCAGCAAGGGTGCCCCCAAGGGTCTGGCTTCTGGAGCCTGGGATTGTGGCTCCTTGTTCTGGTGCCCCAGCATGTGGATCCCATCATGCATGTTATTGTCTATGTTGGGGCTGTATTGCACTGGCGCTGTGGGGTTTTGTACCTGGCAGCTTGGAGACCATGGATAATACTGTTCTGTGGCTTCCTTGGCAGGGAAGGAAGTGTTCTGAAGTCCCGCGTCATCACCTGGAAGCCCTCAGAAGAATTTATTAAGAATAACCATGTCATCAACACCCCTGTTCAGACCATGTACATCATGGGAGACTTGGGACCATGTGGGATGTAAGTAAAAGACTCGGAGTAACCTGGTCTCCTAGATGGGAAACCCCTGCTCTCCCCCTCCCTTATGAAACCACATTCCCCTGGCACCAGTCCTAGGAGGGGAATTCCAAGATCATCAGCAATTCCAGCTGCTGTTGCCTCCTATGCCTTATTTCAGTGGGAAGCATTGTACTTGTCCCCCCACCACCCCAACCTTCTTATTCTGATCAGTGGGGGTATGGCTGGGTTTGTTTCCCCTCTCCCACATGCACAGGCAGGACCATGAGTCCACTGGCAGCTGGTGCGCATGGACTCTGTTCAGACTGGGTGTCTGTTTTATGGTCTCTCCCCTCAGGCTTGGCCACAGGGAATATGAGCACGTTCTTTGCACAGTCAAGGTGGATGGCAATGGGGTGATCACAGTGAAGCCTGATTTCACGGGCACTAAAGGTGCTTACAGGTGAGCAAGGCAGTGTGGGGCTAGTGCTGCAGGTGGGATTGGTGCAGAGGGGCTGAAATTACAAGGTAACCCTGGGAAAAGTGTACTGTGGAATGGGGGACCCTGCAGCCTAGCACCTAGAATGGGAAGCATGGGCTCCAGAACTCAGGCAGGATCATAGCATGCTCCTCTCTGATAAATCATGGGATCTGCTGAGCCTCTTGAGCAGGCAGTCACCCCCATGGGCATGTAGTAGCAGGGATATCCTGGGAGTTTCCTTAATGATCCCTTGCTGCTGGGCGAACCCCCAGGAGTGTGAATGGTGGGACATGGCTGCTCCTGGGGCTGCCACCTCAGCCTTAGGGGTGGTATAGCTGCTGTGGGCACTGCCTATCCTGTTCTGACTCTTGCCCATGGTGCTTTGGGGATGTGCAGGATTGAGCTGGATGGCGAGAAGCGGGAGCTGTGGAGGTACACCATTGAGAATGCCTCAGCCCAGGTGCAACGAGAGGAGGAGGAGCGGGAGCAGCGCATGTTCAGAGATGTAAGGATCAGCTTTGACTAAGGCCTTGGGGACTCAGCTCAGGAGTCTGATCCCATCACAACTGTTTCTGAAGTGGAGCGACCTTCCCAGAAAACGCCCTGCCACTAGCCCCTCCTATTTAAATGGAGGCAGCTCCAGATCAAGCCCCTCACTGACTGTAACTGTGCTGACAGTAACACTTTAACACTGACGCTGGTCTCTCAGGTAGCCAGATCTAAAGCTAGGCTAAATCCAGCACCCTGAGTTCCACTGAGATGTCTACTGAAGGCCCCGAAGCACAGCTCTCGTGTGCTCTGACACAGCTTGATAAGCGGGCAGGCACATTTTGCACTAGGTTCATTTTCTGAATGGTTTTGCTGTGGAGCCCATTGCCTCAGGCCAGTCTGGATGGGAGTAAGGCCTGGACAGTAGTAGACTCCTGAAGGTCTATTGGGCATATTGGAAGGAAAGGTTGTTTTTCTAGCAGAGTACAGATGGCGAAAACCCTCTCAGGACTGCTGCTGTCTTGGAGTCCAGTAGTAACTCAGGAGCTAAGAAAGCACCCAGATTGCAAACTAGAGTTACAAATGGTGGACATGTTCCTGCACTCTAGGCAGCTGATGCAACCTTTACCAGCTCTTCCTGCTGTTTACCTCAACCTCTTATCCAGCTAAATTAGCTCTCTTCCGCGCACCAATCTCATATAAGTGTTGGGTCATTCTTTCGTTTGCAGAGTTTTTGTGCTCAGTGCATGAATGTTTCATTTTGAACTCTTATTCTTAATTTTGAGTTTCAGATTAACTTCCCCCTCTGGATTATCATGGAAGTACAGTAAATATTAAGAACAAGAACGGCCATACTGGGTCAGACCAATTGTCCTTCTAGCCCAGTATCCTGTCTTCTGACAGTGGCCAGTGCCAGATGCTTCAGAGGAAATGAACAGAACAGGGCAATGTTGAATGATCCATCCCCTATTGTCCAGTCCCAGCTTCTGGGAGATTTAGGGACACGTGGAGCCAGGTGTTGCATCCCTGGTCATCTTGGCTAATAGCCATTGATGAACCTGTCCACTAGGAACTTACCTTGAACTTTTTTGAACCCAGTTATACTTCTGGCCTTCACATCATCCGCTGGCAATGAGTGCTACAGGTTGACTGTGCATTGTGTGAAGAAATACTTTCTTCAGTTTATTTTAAACCTGCTCACTACTAATTCATTGAGTGACCCCTGGTTCTTGTGTTATGTGAAAGGGTAAATAACACTTAGAATCATAGAATATTAGGGTTGGAAGAGACCTCAGGAGGTCATCTAGTCCTATCCCCTGCTCAAAGCAGGACCAACACCAACTAAATCGTCCCAGCCAAGGCTTTGTCAAGCCGGGCCTTAAAAACCTCTAGGGATGGAGATTTCACCACCTCCCTAAGTAAACCATTCCAGTGCTTCACCGCCCTCCTAGTGAAATAGTGTTTCCTAATATTCAACCTAGACCTCCACTGCAGCTTGAGACCATTGCTTCTTGTTCTGTTATCTGCCACCACTGAGAACAGCCTAGCTCCATCCTCTATGGAACCCCCCTTCAGGTAGTTGAAGGCTGCTATCAAATCCCCCCTCATTCTTCTCTTCTGCAGACTAAATAACCCCAGTTCCATCAGCCTCTCCTCATAAGTGATGTGGCCCAGCCCCCTAATCATTTTTGTTGCCCTCCACTGGACTCTCTCCAATTTGTCCACATCCCTTCTGTAGTGGGGGGACCAAAACTGAACGCAATACTCCAGGTGTTGTCTCACCAGTGTCGAATAGAGGAGAATAATCACTTCCCTCAGTCTGCTGGCTATGCTCCTACTAATACAGCCCAATATGCCGTTGGCCTTCTTGGCAACAAGGGCACACTGCTGACTCATATCCAGCTTCTCGTCCACTGTAATCCCCAAGTCCTTTTCTGCTGAACTGCTGCTTAGCCAGTCGGTCGCAAGCCTGTAGCGGTGCCCGGGATTCTTCCTTCCTAAGTGCAGGACTCTGCATTTGTCCTTGTTGAACCTTATCCGATTTCTTTTGGCCCAATCCTCCAATTTGTCTAGGTCACTCTGGACTCTATCGCTACATTCCAGTGTATCTACCTCTTCCCCCCAGTTTAGTGTCATCTGCAAACTTTCTGAGAGTGAAATTAATCCCATCATCCAGATCATTAATAAAGATGTTGAACAAAACTGGCCCCAGGACCAACCCCTGGGGCACTCCGCTTGATACCGGCTGCCAACTAGACATCGAGCCATTGATCACTACCCATTGAGCCCGACAATCTAGTCAGCTTTCTATCCACCTTATAATCCATTCATCCAATCCATACTTTTTTAACTTGCTGGCAAGAATACTGTGGGAAACTGTTTCAAAACACTTCCTTATTCACTTTCCCCACACCACTCATGATTTTATAGGTGTCTGTCATATTCCCCCCCTTAGTTGTTTCTCTTCCAAGCTGAACAGTCCCAGTCTTTTTAATTTCTCCTCGTATGGAAGCTGTTCCATACCCCTTGTCACACTGTCTGGAGGCTCGTGACCATGAGTGCCTACCTCAGGGCAAACTGTCAAAAGCAGGTGGTATGGTCTATAATTAGATTTCACCAACTCAGTACAAAATGTTCATTCCTAAAATACCACAGGAGTCTTATAATGGAGTCACAGACAGTCCCCGTAGACCCTCCAGTCTATCTTGCAACCCAGGCAAGATGAACTATGTGATAGATGGTCACTTACACAAAAAAATCACAGATATTCCAGGTTACTCCCAGTCCCAAGAGACCACTCACTCACCCACATCGATTTGCATCCTACACCAAAAATAATGCTGTTAGCCAATTCTTTAGTAAACTAACTTAAGGTTTATTAGCTAAGAAAAAGTAATGAGTTATCGAGAGGTTAAAGCAGGTAAAAATTTATGTACATGTGAGTCATAGTCTCTATTTCCAAATGGTAGCAGAGATGGAGTAATCTGCCAGTTTCCCAAAAGTCTGAGCGCAAAACTCCCGTTTGCTGCTCCTGGTTGCTTGCTCCTTTCCCTTTTCCCCACCTAATTTGTAGCCTCCCTAATAATCAGCCTTGCTGTTTGAGCACAGGGGTTGGTGCCCCATCTGCTAACATAGAGAGACTGTAATTCAAGAGGCACATCTCACTGCAGAAGGGATTCAAATATGACAAGAATCTGAAATTCCTTTCCACGCCATCAGCACTTGAGTCAGATGGCCTCTATTGTCAGGCACGAGAAAGCAGAGAAGTTCACGCATCCAGCCCATCTCTAGCTGACTTCCCAGGTCCCTAAAAACACTGGATTGTTGTCGGTTTCTTCACCCTAGGGTGACCAGATCACCCAGGTCAAATATCAGGACGGGTGGGGGTGTGTGTGTGTGTGTGGCGGAGGGGCGGGGCAAAATAAAAAAAAAAACCCTCCTCCACAAGTGCTGGAGGGAGGCCCTGGAGACGTAGGGGGAGCACGGTGCCATGAGTGAGAGTCCGGCCTGGCCCCGAACAGGCAGGACTCAGTTGGGCGGTAGGGAGAGTAGGGGGGCGGCCCGCGGGGCCAGGCGGCGGCGGCTGTTCTCCCCCCCCGGGCAGCGGGACTCGGGAGCAGCTGCTGCTGCAGCTCCCACTGCCGCAGGGGGGAGGAAGCGGCTGATGGCCAAACTCGGCGGCTGCGGCTCTGGCGCCCGTGAACCCCCCGAGCCTGGGACTGCTGTGGTGACCCAGCGCGCATGCTGCGTCCAGCCCCTGGCCAGTCGCGTCTGGGCTGCTGCCTGCCCAGCTGGTGCAATCCCG